ATTGTTTATTATAACGTGATGTATTGCACACGCAACAGTAGTTGAAGAACATGTAGTAAGTTTCAGTTTTAATCTTTTATAATATACACAATCCAATTCTTTTACCTCCCTTCCTTACTGAAGAGCACGGGGGAGGATATCGGTGTCAGTTTGTTTTCCGTATAAGGGCACGTGCGAAACGGAAGACAAACTACTTCTTTGAAAAAAACCCCCTCTAATTAATTTGTTACATTCTTTGTATTAATTTCATTTACATTTACTTTGTTTTATCTCAAGTTGGATACTGCTTCTCAAAGGGGTTGGGGCCCGAATGTGCACCTTGCCTTGTGCATTTGCAACGAAACATTCAGGCGGTTCGAAACAATGAATGTATAATTCATTTTCAGGATCAACATGCCAAATTTTAATATTTTCACCTACCCAACTATGCAGACTGCAGTTATTGGACTCCATTTCACACGTCGAAATTTGTTATTGGCCGTTGGAGCATACAATTCGTGAGATTTCAGTAGCTTTAAGTTCTTGTGAAAGGTCTCTCACTTCATTTTTATTCTGTCACGTTGTTTTCATCACCGGTATTTTGCGGGTTCCTCAGAAGGTCTTGTTTTCTTCTGCGAGTATTCACTATATCCTCCGTCATGAATTATTTATCTTTGGAAATTGATGAATTGCCTTCTATAATCGATTTACTGGATAAATATTAAATATTTTACCACTTTTTGTTTCATGAGTTTATTGCTCTTCCCTCGACGGTATATTTACCACTGTGCTTTATTACTCGAGCGAATACTCATTTATGGTTGCTTGGCATTTTCGCTGCACCATTCGTTCCTAGATGAGGATGGCCTTTCCTGAGGGCCTTACCAGTCCAGAAATGGAGATCTCGGAAGGAGGAGTCATTCTCGATAACAGAACGTAGGTTTCTTCTTTTTTTTCTGCTAAAATCTCTTTTCTAAGGTTTCTGTGAAAATTTATGAGATTCTACCTTATTACCATGACTAATGAATTTTTCGTGGGTTCAGCGCAATTAGTTGGTTGAGAATGTGCACACTGTAGTTCAGTTCTGAAATAGTTCTTCTCACACTTGTATTTCGGATCGGGGAGAGTTGGGGGGGGGGGGAGGGACTGGTAGCAGATCTATATTACTTTGCATTTTTTACTTTATTGTGGGCTCTTTGTCAATTTTGATTTATTCTGTGCTAAAATTGACTGATTTGACAATATTTAGCCGCTTTGCCGATTTGAAAACCATGTTGGACAGCAGCAAAGATAATCTGAAAGTGGACGCGATGAAACGTATCATTAATGTTCGTGGTTTTTGATTGAAAGGCTCTGTTGATATGTGATGTGCATTTGATTAATCTCTGTTCTGCTTCAGTTAATTGCAAAGGGTAAAGACGTCAGTGAGCTTTTTCCAGCTGTCGTCAAGAACGTTGCGGCCAAGAATGTGGAGGTTAGTCGCTGTGACATTCATACGTAGATTGATTTTTATTAATACCAAGTTAGAATGAACTTAAGTATGTAATACTGGCCATTAGAAGTTGATTCAGTGAAAAAGCTCGTGCGAGAGCGACGTTAGCATAAAACCAGCAGGGATACGCGCTCTATGTCAATTACAGCAACGTTCCCAAGTAAGCTCTAAGTAGTACTCACATTGAATAGCTTTCATTGTAGTAATGCTAGCATTCTTTGTTTGTATCTTACTTTTTCTAACTATTTAATTTTTAAGGACCCAACTCCCAGTCTGATAAGGGCTAGCGCTCTTCGTGTGTTGTCGTCTATCAGAGTCGGTATGATAGCTCCCATAATGCTGCTAGCCATCAAGGATTCTGTTCGAGATATGAGCCCATACGTTAGAAAGGTACATTTGAAATTTTCTGCTATTTAGACGGTTTTACCTTTTCACCACATAACTCGAGACGTTTCTCAGTCACCAAGCCCGAGTAGAGTCGCAGCTCATGGCCATACCCCTCAAGCTGTTACCCTTTGATCCCGAGTTGGACAACGGACTCCTGGTTGATTTGTAGCGATTTCCTTCTCGGAACAACTAGCTTGTTTGGCGCCTGCAGGTACCTTTTGAAACGCCTAAACCTTACAAATCTTTCGTATCCTACAATATAACTCACTCCCACTATCCTGAACCAGCTCATCATATTCTTATAATCTTCACCCAATCGTGATCTCCTTCATAAGCGCTTTTCGGGCTCATGATGCCGTGCCCCTAGACTGACGTTCATGTTCGACGAGTGGGCCGCACTAAGTACACTGACGTTTCTACAGGATCTGATCACCCACTCATCATCAAAAATGTCTATTTTTTTTGTTTCTTTTAGTCATTATATAATCTTCTGACAATACGCACGCTCGGAGCTGCTGATCACTGAAGCCTTTCTGCACACAACCAATAATGCTCCCCTGCTTGCGCTCTCACTTCGCTTCGTCCTCACCTTTACAAGGTGCTTTTATACTTGAACCTTCCTAAATTGCCCCACCGGGCGGCGCATGAGCTCTCTCCTCCTATGTATTTGTTAACACTAGCGATTCATAAATGAGAATAATCATTTGTCTCGTATTGCTCTCTATTTCTGAACAGGTCGGCATGGCAGTTATAGTCGGTTCTGATGCCTTACGGATCTTAGGTAAGCATCGTAAAGCTAATGCCATCCGACGAAGTCAGTGGCCTATGTCTCGACTGAGTAGTTGTCTTCTGATACCGACCATTCCACCGTTGGAGCAGGTTAGTCGGATAAAATATCGGAGCGTTAGTTAGTTGGTCATTAACATTGCTCATAACTAGCTAATGTTCTTTTATGGTAGTGGACTAACCCGCTCAAACGGTGGAACTGTCAGCCTTAAAAGCGAGGATCCAGTAGAAACATTGTCAGTTCATTGAGTAAAAGTTCCCCCTAACAATCTCGAAAGGTACAGAACGAATAGCGGCTTATCTCTTATTTTGTAGTCATTTCTTTATAAGTTTTGCGTGATAATTATGGTTAATGCTGGATATTTTGGTTACAGTCACGGAACTGCAGCGTCGTAATGGCAGTCACTCAGTTGTTCTACTACACCGCTCCGAAAGCACAGCTTTCTCAGGTATTCAATTATCTGTACTTCGAAATGCGTGCTTAGCATTTTTACTTACTCAGACGGCACATACTTACTACGCCGAACACGGTTCATGCGGTTACAAATTTAACGGTTCATGGCAGATTTTACGATGAAAAGTTAGCTCATTGAAAATAAGGGTAGAGGTGGTCAGTGGAGCAGGGATGAAGAAGAAACCATTGAAACGGCCCGAAACCCGAGAAATGGGACCCCTTCCTTGCCCGTTGATTTGCGCATTGATGCGACTCTCATCGCTGTGCCCTCTTCAACACTACGCTCTCTGCTATCTAATCACTCGCCACGTATAGACCTGCGGCGAGTGATTAGATAGTCGGTGGGCGTTCCCCGCCAACCGCGCCAAAAGGAAGGCCATGCTAGATCGCCGGGGGCATATCCTTCGATGCGAATTGCGTGTTGGTCCGCACCCTTAGGGGTCCGCCTGTCTCTCCACTAGGTGAACCTCTCCTTCTTCGAGACTTGTTCTTACCGTAGAATCCTACTTCTTCCTTGAACACAGGGGTGTGCTCTGTTGATTGAAGGCTAGCTGTTCTCATCCATCACTCAAGCCGTAACTTCGGGAACATCCACGTCCATAAAGACCACCGGTGACAAAATAAGGGCATACTCGTGCTTGCTGCATTCACTTGAAATAGTGGGTCGCATTTGAGCCACAATTGAAGCGTACAAATGGACGCTGACGCTCGCGTGCTTCGCGCAAAAGGTGCCTTCGCGCAAACGTCTCTTGTGACATCCACCTAAGCAGTCGGACACTCATGTTGATTTTTGATATAAAAAACCGTGGAATTGCGGTTGTTATTGCTTTGCCCTACACCCTCACTACTGACCGTTTGAGTGTTTCCCTCACTCCTTTGCT